TTGTGATCATCCTTTTTGGCCATAAGCATGCAGCCCTAGTCTGGAAATATTTCAGTTATAGAACGGATGATGAGCAAAAAGAAATCCTGCAATTGTTGCCCTGAGACAACATAACAACCTGTTAGCATGACCATTTAGATAAATGCTATACAGCTCTGTATGACGAGAACAAATCCAGATCTGAATGCCGACCCTGAGCACAGAACTATTTTAAACTGATAGATGGGAGAAAGATTTGATTTTTCAGCTTTTTGAAAATTTTCTCTGCAGCTGCACTCCCCTTTAAAACCACCCTCTTCTTTTAAATTATTCAAATCATCTCGTGGAAATTCCTGCTTAGTTTGACATATATATGACACACACATCATGGCATCAGGGATCAGATAAACGTGACCGCAGCTTTGTGTGCGATTTCCACAATTGCATGAGTCAGGAGGGAGCTTTTTCTTAAGCAATAGAAACATCAGCCGGTGTCGCTGTACCTTAAGCTCCCCTGTCGTAGGGCGCAGACCCGGTAAGCTGCTGCTTCCTCAGGCGGTTTACCTGTGTGGCCACAGCTAGAGGGAGAAGTAAAGCCTCCACGTGCAACATGAAGATCTAATCATCTGTATTGAGACTGGAGAGCTGTTTGATCCACCCAAGACTCCTGCAGTGTGAATGGAATCATAATCTGCAGCATGAGTGAATGAAGAATCAGCTTATTATGTCGGGAAGCAGTGTCACTTTCCAAAAAAAAACAAAAGAAGAGCCTACATCTCCTCAAATGAGTAGCTGCAGAGGGATGATAAAGTAGGCAGACTGTAGGAATTACATGTCTACAAGGCACACAACAGCTAGCAGATGTCAGGTCTGTGTGAGGCCACATTTGTCTGCAGTGAAAACACGTCGACTGAATGCTCCACTGTGCCTCAATCTGAGCTGTTGACTCTATGGTAATGATGCAAGTCAAGCTAAACATAACAAACCATTAGCGTCCTCAGCATGCCGACAACAGCGCTGGGAAGATGGCGATCTCGCTTCTCTGTGTGCGAGGCTCCGCAGACACTGGGAATGCAGATTAGTTTACAAGTACGAGCCGCCCCGGCGTAAATACATCCCGGCTAAATGACGCTATTAGAAGTTCGGCATTATAAACAGTTTCTGCTCCGGCGTCGGGTTCCTTAAACTTTGCGGTTTTTGGTTTCCGAGGTCTGGTTTTTGGTGGAGCTGCTGGTTTTCGTACAAATATGTGCTAATATTCAACAGCAAGACCCTCTTTGTGCCTGGAGTTCATCGTCAGTTTGTTAGCGAGACCTCGGAAGCGACATTTGGTTATTTATTTCGGACACAACCCTGATAATCCTCTTCAAGGGAAGAGAGAGAGAGAGAGAAGGAAGGAATGCGCTGCAGGCATGTGGAAGCAGGAAAAAGAAAGGCATGATTTCCCACCGGCCAGTCCCTGTGAGCATTCAAAGAGAAAAAACAAAGGGATGAGAGAAATGTTTGAAGGCAGAAAAGAGAAAAAAAATAGAGGGATAAAGAGGGGAGAGGAGAAAGCAGGAGTGAAGGAGAAGAAGATACGAGTGAAAGGAATGAACGGAGGTCTGGACGTGCTGTCTTTATCAGAGGAAACGAGGAAAGCTGTGTGGCAGGGACCCAAGGCCAGGGTTCATACTGTCGCTGAGCCATGACCGTGTTCTGTCTTTTCCTTCTTCCTTCCCATCATGCCTCTGTCCCTCACTTGCTCCCTCCTTTTTTTTAATTTCCCTCTCTCCAGCCTCATATCTGTCTCCATCGTCTCTGCATCACCTCACTTGACTTCCTTCCCTTTTCATTGCTCTTGTTTTTTTCCCCCTCTTTGTGCGCTTTTCCTTCGCTCAAATTACTCGCAAAACAGTTCCAAAATTGAGAACATGTTTATGTAAATCACACAAAAGCCAAAGCCATTGTGCCCGTGTGTGTGCATGTGTGTGTTGTTTGCCTCCCTCCCTCCTCTTACTCACTTTTGTCACTCTTGTGTCTTTGTTCACTGAAGTTAAACTTTGCTGCCTTTGAAAGTCTGGTGGAAGGCAGACAATGTCCGCCACAGGCATTTTCTCAACCTTTTTTCAACCTCGCTCACAAACACACACGTTCCCTGACAGCTTTGCTGTTTTGGAGGGGTGGGGTGATTGATTAGTCTCTATGGAGACGATACGTCTTGTAATGAACAAGAGAAAGCTGGCATGTTAATTTGTGTAGTGTGGGAGGCTTAATTGTGCTTGTGTGTGTGTGTGTGTGTGTGTGTGTGTGTGCTTGGCTGTTCCTGATGCATGCGTCTATATGTTGCTGTGTGCATCTTCCTGTGAGAGGAATTGCTTTTCTTTCATCTTTTTATTGTTTTCATGTGAATCCCCTCTGTGTGCATGCGTGTCCAGGATTTATGCTCGTCCTTGTAGCTGTGTGTCATTTTTTTTTATATGTTCTCGTGTGTTTCAGGCACGTTTGCATATAAAAGCACTGCAGTGGATGGAAAAAAAAAAAATGGGGAAAAAGTCAATAGTTGTTCCACTTTTTAGGCGGAAGACGGAAAATTATTTGTGGTGATCCAATGAAAATGCAACAAAATGCAATCGGAAAGGACGACAAATAAATAATAATCTACATAAAGGGTTTATTTAAGGGTAATACTCACGTAACAATAGTGGACGGTATTGATCATTAAACCCCTGAACCTGCTGGAGGGTTTTAGGGTTGCACGATTTATCAGAGCCAGAAATGGTAAAAATTCTTTTTTTTTGTTGTTTTTAATTTTTATTTCATTCCGACCTGCTGCATATGTGTACTGATTTTTGTCATTGTTAGTCAAACGTAGCCCCGATGGGATGAAGTCTTGTCGAGGGTGTAGTTGAGCCGTGTTGCATTTTAGAGCTTGTAGCTGGAAATGTTTTTGTTTGTCCAGACCTTCTCCATATGCCTACCAAATTTCATAGCTCTAGGCCAAACGTGCGTCCGGCAGAACTTTGTTGAAATTTTCATTGGGGCACTGTGGAGCTGTTTTAGCAGTGACATGTCCAAGTCCCTTAAAATATCAAATTTTTCGCCAGTCCTGGTGCGTGTGGTGATTTTGTTGAGTTTTGGGGCATGTTTAGGCCCTCACAAATGTGTTTCTTTTCGTGGGAAAATAAGAAAAATAAAGAATAATAAACCCAAGGGTTACAATCGGGTCCTTGCACTGTTAGTGCTCGGACCCTAATAAAAATTAAATAAATATCTATAGTATTATAAAGGCACATTTTTTCCCCAGTAGGTGTTTCTGTGGAGACTTGGAAACAATCTCTACATTGTAAATAATCAAAATCTTTCTGACGTATGGCATTTTTAGGTTCTCTCTCCTTGTCTGTGAAGATTCTCAGTCATCCAGGTCATGGTTATTCTAAGAGTTTAATCGTAACAACTGGACTTGCTTGAGTTCTTTGAAGACGTTCCACCTCTCATCCAAGAGGCTTCATCAGTTCTGACTGACTAGTTGGGAGTTCCACATACTTATATTCTTTAGGAGCCATTAACACTTGAGTTTCAGGTTTAACTGGGGGTTTGTTGCTCCGCCCCCTCATTATGCGAGTCGTTAGGACTCCTTCTGCCACAAAGGGGTTCTCTCTCCTGCTAGCTGTGGATGTGCTATTTCCATAGTGATGCAGGTAAAAAATGAGCCCACAGTGAGCTGCTTGGGAATCAGAAAGTTAATTTAGACGAGAAATCCAGTTTGATTTTGTGCTAAAGTTACTGAAAACTAGAGCAGCGCCCACTGTCAGAGCATGACATCATCACATGAGGTTGGACTTGAAGGATGTTGCTTAGCAAGAGTTGTGACGTTAAGCCAGGAGAAGACCCCAAAAACAACCACCGCTCATCCAATCCTCTTCAAACTTACCACTGCACCACCTCAGGTCCGTAACAATACGCCCGCCACGTGTGAAGCAGGTTGGCTGAAAGGTTGTTGAGCAACGAGAAGGACGGACAGCCTCAGATTCCTTCCTTTATTAGTGGATTCATGCATCCTTCAGTGTGTGGTTTTCTCTACGCGTGTGCGTTTCGGCGTATGAAAGCACACGTGTTTCGTCTCCTCTCAGATACGTGTGGACCTGAAGCCGCGTGTGTCACAACGCATGCGGGGTTACCACGGCAACACAGATGCTGTTGATTATCTCTGTTACACATGTCAGAGTCGGAGGAATCTCTCCCCGACGCGTACGTAGCCGGCGCATGCTTTTAATGACATGCCTATTACACGCGCTCCCGCACACACACGCATGCAAGCGCATTCATAAATCAGCCGTGACATATCAACACATCAGCGTGGCGATGAGCCCATATAACCAGACCCCTTTGATTATGATATGCTAATCTGACCTATAATTTACTTTCCCATCATCCACGTGTTCATCCGCCGCTCCCTGTTTGTTCCGGCTCCATTCGAGTCGCACATCGTATTGGCTTGTCTCTTGTTAGAAACTACATTGGCAAAGCGGGGAGAAATCAATATTTCAAACATTAGCAAACAACTGTTCATCCATTCAGACCAGGCTGAGATACTTAATAGCTCGATCTGACATCATGTACTATGAAATAATCAAAGGCTGTAATGGAGGGGAACGCACCGATCACAGAGGCCTTAACTGCAGCAGGATTTGGGTTTTTTTTTTTAGTCCCTGATGAAATACGAACACCACTGTCAGCACTTGTCTGTCAGTTTTTTTGGGGGAAAAAATTCCCCAAAAAAGAAATGCAAGTTGAGGAAAGTGAAGGAAATTTTCCCAGTGACATCTAATAATTTCATTCCATTTCTCACTAAATCTGCACTGGCTTGGCTTCACTCCAGCGCCATAAAACGTCGACTAAGTGCTGGGCGAGATTGAAAGCCTCCTCCTTCTTTAAGAATTAATGTTAGTTTAACGAGAAAGGGGATTTAGAATGTGTTAATGGTTGAGTTAATGGCTTTCTCTCCTTCTGTCCCCCCCCCACTTCTTTCTACACCACAGCCTTTGCAGATAGACGATAACTTCTGCGGCCAGGACTTCAACCAGCCTCTAGGGGGCACCACGGCCATCGAGGGCATCCCGCTCTACGTGGACAAGGACGACGGCATGACCTCCGTGGCGGCCTACGACTACCGCGGGCACACCGTCGCGTTCGCCGGCACTCGCAGCGGACGCATGAGGAAGGTAGGAAACCCGGAGCGTTGTGGTG